GATGCACCCCAAACAAGGGGTTCAATTCCCAGGGATTGTCCAACTACTTGTCCATTTCAGATGGACCTTGATTGGTCTCTTTTCTTCAGACTCAGAAAACGGAGAGAATTTCATGAGGACCTTGACTCCTATGCTTGTCAGGAATGGAATTTGTGTTGTTCTATCACAACGATTCTCAACAACTGGAAATACAGCACCCATCAGGGAGGCCATCTCTAAGTGGAGACAAGTCAATGTCTATGTTCAGTTTATAGAACATCATTCCTGGTTGGACAGACTTCTTTATTTCCAGTTAGCACTTGAAGGAATGCCAAGACCCATTGAAAAAAAAATCTGGATTATGACCCTCTTTGTTACTTGGCACATTAGTTACTATGACCTTTTCAAATACGTCCATAGTATTGTGACCTTTGCTTTTCAGGAGAAGAAAAGACCAAAAGATGATGCCTTTCAACCCAATTTTTTTGTGGATCCCCAATTTCAAGATCGGTCTTTTCACTGTTTATTTTCTAAGCACCTCTTGTCCGTCAAAGACAGGAGAAGATGCACCCAGAAAGCACCACTGGGAATCCGAAACAAAAATGAAATGACAAATGACCACACGTTTTATAGTGTCATTAAGACTTTAGCCCGTGCCTTGAATGCTGTGTATTTCTCCAGATTCATGAGGAGAAGGAAGAAGGGCAAAGAGAGGATCACAGGTCTAAGACTGGAGCCATGGCAGGTATGGGGTCCTGACAAGAATCCATCAGATTTAATTCCTTTGGAGAAAGAATCCATAGGAAAAAGGAGGGGCACAATCTCACTCTACTTTGCTACAAAAGGCCAGCAAGTTTGGCCCATCTAATCACTCAGGGGATAATATTCCAAAGTGCAGGCATCATGACACATATAATTTGATAGTAAACACTGCTAATTTTAAAAAGGATGTTTGCAGTTTCAAATAAAACTCCTGTGTCAGGGTTCCAAGTAATAGATCCATTGCAAGCAACAACACCGAGGCAGGTAGATTCCTCAAAGAATAGCTTTATTAGAAATATCAAATTGGCACATATCTGGTGAAAACCAACTCTGGGAGGCCCCTTGGTTTTCACCTAATTGAAAGTAAAAGTTTCCCCCTCAAACCCAAACAATCAGTCACATGGCCCAATCACTGCAACGTCCTCAGGTCTGGTGATATCACTCCTCCTTCCTCCGGCCAGGTGTGAGAACGTCCTTGGTTCCCAGGGGAAAGTATTTTATTTTGACTACACAGCCCCAGCCAGTAGTGGGATTCAAGTAATTTAACAACCGATTCTCTGCCCTAATGATTTCTTCCAACAACCAGTTTGCCAAACTGCTCAGAAAGTTAACAATTGGTTCTCCCGAAGTGGTGCGAATTGGCTGAATCCCACCACTAGTCCCAGCTATCTCTAATCCCCCACTCCCTATCGCTCAGCTCCATCATGACATACATAACATGACATTTTTTAATTTTTTAAACTGAAATTTTAATTTGTTTTAAATTATGGGGTTTTTTAATTGTCTTGGGCTAAATTATTTAATTTGGTTTTAAATTGTTTCTAACTTTTGTATTTATGTATTTTATTCTGTGCCTGTTCACCGCCCTGAGTCCTTCGGCAGTAGGGCGGTATATAAATTTAATAAAACATAAACAAACATAAACATAAACATACATAATTTGATAGCTGGGACCAGCAACACTGAAGCTACAAGATGGCTTCGGCCAGGTCAGCTTCAGGGTTGACTTTCCTGTATGTATTTGTTTGTGATTAATATTGTAAAACTTTACCTTTGTAGATGCCAAGACACTTTTATTAGTTTAATCATTACATAATCCAGCCAGAGGTGGGTTTTCAGCAGAGGTGGTTCTGGAGAACCGGTAGTGGAAATTTTGAGTAGTTCAGAGAACCAGTAGTAAAAATTCTGACCGGCCCCACCCCCATCTATTCTCTGCCTCCCAAGTCCCAGCTGATCAGGAGGAAATGGGGATTTTGCAGTAACCTTCCCCTGGAGTGGGGTGGGAATGGAGATTTTACAGTATCCTTCCCCTTCCACGCCCACCAAGCCATGCCCACCAAGCCATGCCACACCCACCAAGCCACACCCACAGAACCGGTAGTAAAAAAAATTTAAAACTCACCACTGAATCCAGCCCTCATTTAACTAAGTTTCTAATCATCGCATCAGGAAGTAGTTTGCTGAAATCAAGTTATTTCACCAGGATCCTTACAATTTATTAAGGAAGTGTAATGATATGTGAGAATAACATATCATCACAGGGGCAAAATGCTGCCTAGAGAATGATCAGATAAGAGTGAGGGAGACTATATTTGCATAACAGGCAGACTTAGAATCGACATAGAATAGATGAAACTTTTTCTCAGTAGCTGTAACTGTGAGTGTGATCTTGGGGTCCTAGTGGACAATCACTTAAATATGAGCCAGCAGTGCGCTGCAGCTGCCAAAAAAGGCCAACACAGAAGGATAGAATTAAGACCATGTGAAGTGTTAATGCCACTTTATAATGCCTTGGTAAGGCCACATTTGGAATACTGCATCCAGTTTTGGTCACCACAATATTAAAAAAATGTTGAGACTCTAGAAAGAGTGCAGAGAAGAGCAACCAAGACAATCAGAGGGCTGGAGACTAAAACATATGAAGAAGGACGTATCAAGATAAAACATATGAAGGCAGATTTGAACACTAGGCCCTATATAACAAAATGAAATTCAACATAAATAAAAGTAAGGTTTACATTTAGGCAGGAAAAAATTACTGTATTGGTATAGACTAGGTGAAACTTATTGCTTAACAAGTTAAGAGCAGTGGTGGCACAACAGACTAAAGTGCTGTTAAGTAGCACCAGCTGCCTGCAATTACTGCAAGTTCAAATCTCACCAGGCTCAAGGTTGACTCAGCCTTCCATCCTTTCGAGGTAGGTAAAATGAGGACCCGGATTATGGGGGCAATAAACTGACTTTGTATAAAAAACAACACTGCTTGGAGGGGGGGGAAAGCCCTACTAAGCAGATATATACAAAAGTATGAAGGCTATTGCTTAACGCATTGTAAGCCGCCCTGAGTCTCCGGAGAAAGGGCGGCATATAAATCGAACCAATAAATAAATAAATAAATAAATGCCAATGACTGTGAGAGAGATCTTGGAGTCCTAGTGGACAATCAATTATATATGAGCCAATAAGGTGCAGCAGTAGCCAAAAAAAGAAAAGGCAATGCAATCCTAGGTTGCATTAATAGAAGGATAGAATCAAGATCACATGAAGTTCTACTGCTGCTTTAAAAAGTCTTAGAAAACCACACTCGGAATACATCCACTTCTCATCACCATAATACAAAAAAAGATGTTGAGACTCTGGATAGAATGCAGAGAAGAGCAACAAAAATGATTAGGGGACTGGAAGCTAAAACATATCAAGAACAATTACAGGAATTGGGTATGTCTAGTCTAATGAAAAGAAGGACTAGGGGTGACATGATATTCCTGTTTCAATGTTTGAGGGTCTTCTACAAAGATGAGGTCAAACTATTTTCCAAAGTACCAAATGGCAAGACAAGAAACCATGGTTGGAAACTAAACAAGGAGAGAAGCAACCTAGAACTAAGGAGAAATTTCCTAATAATGACAGCAATCAACCAATGGAATAGTTTGCCTTCAGAAGTTGTGGATGCTCCATCATTGGACTCTTTCCAAAATAAACTGGACAACAATTGTTGGATTAGAATGACTCCAAGGTCCCTTCCAACTCTTATTCTGTTAAAAAAAAAAAACTCAGAGAGGATTTTCCCCAACTTTTCAGGTTGTAAAATAGTTTTGGGGAGATTTGTGCTTTTGGACTAGCAAGATTCTTTTAATGTAGTCCTCCAATAAAGTAAAGTTAGCTCATCTGGCTGTCTCCCTTGTGGAGAAGGGAAGATTACCCTGGCAACTTCTTTGATAAATCAGTGCTTCCTGGAAATCACCCTGTTGTCCTAAAGGAGATTATGAATAATCTCATCATATGTTTGTTCAATTTATTTGTGACCTATTTTAGAATGTTCCCTATAATTGACAATTTTTTACAATTATATTTTATCAATACATATATATTATCCATAGATGATAAATATTTGTTTTTCACTTTGAAAGAAAGTGCAGATATAACTAGAGCATACAAAACATTTGCTAGATCAATTCTTGAATACAGCTCATCTGTCTGGAACCCACACTGCATATTGGACATAAATACAATTGAGGGAGTCCAGAGATATTTTACGAGAAGAGTCCTCCATTCCTCTAATCCAATAAAATACCTTATGCCACCAGACTCCAAATTTTGGGCTTAGACAACTTAGAACTACACTGACTTAGACAACTTAGAACTACTATGACCTAAGCATAGTACATAAATTTATCTGCCACAATGTCCTTCCTGTCAATGACTACTTCAGCTTCAACCACAACAATATACAAGCAAATAATAGATACAAACTCAAGGTAAAGATCTCCAAACTCGATTGCAGAAAATATGACTTCAGTAACAGAGTGGTCAATACCTGGAATTCACTACCTGACTCTGTAGTTTCTTCCCCAAACCCCCAAAACTTTAACCTTAAACTGTCTACTGTTGACCTCACCCCATTCCTAAGAGGTCTGTAAGGGGCGTGCATAAGTGCACCAGTGTGCCTACCATCCCTGTCCTAATATTCCTTTTTACTTACTCTTTTCATGTATTCAAATTACATTTATGTTTTACCTGTTATCTTATATATGCTTGACAAATAAACTTATGATGATGATGATGATGATGATGATGATGATGATGATGATGATGATATGATATATAGTGAGATAGCTCCCAAGTAAGAACATTTGTAAGTTAGACAACTGTAGAAGAAAGGAAGAAGAAACCAAGTCTTTTACTTTTAAAATTCCTGGATGTTTCCATTCTAGTTCCACCCCTTTCTGGAGAAGAATGACTTTTGCAATATTTCTCAGATGAAACTGTACTTGGAGCAAAATGGAGATATAGCAGCAGATCTGGACATCACACTCTGGGTGGTTGTCCCCAAGAAGTATCTTATCAGAAGGCCACTAGCGAGTTTTGAACGACAGAGATTTGTCATCAACCAAGATAGCCTGTCAAAGCTGAAGATGCTCAACAAGGTGGGTGAAATATTGGCATATTTTCTCTGTTTTCCGAAGCTTGAGGACCCATTTCAAGTAGCCTAAGCCTGATCACCAAGGAGGATGACTCTCATTGAGAACGGAATGTGGGGAGTAGCACAGCTATTGTTCTATTAGACTACTTGTGTGATTTCAGTACGAATGACTAAAGTGTCCTTCAGATGCCATAATATGGAACCCAATTTGAAACTGATTCAGCCATGTCAACATGGGATGCTGGTTGATTATTCATTTTGGATGCAGACCATGGCCGCGCGGGTGGTTATGGGTGCAACTCGTTGTGCTCATGTGACACCCCTCCTGCGCGAGCTGCACTGGCTCCCAGTGGTCTTCTGGGTGTGATTCAAGGTGTTGGTCACCACCTTTAAAGCGCTCCATGGCATCGGGCCTAGCTATCTTCGAGACCGCCTGCTGCTACCGACGACTTCCCATCGTCCCGTGCACTCCCACAGAGAGGGCCTCCTCGGTGTGCCATCAGCCAAACAATGTCGGCTGGTGACACCCAGGGGGAGGGCCTTCTCTGTGGGAGCCCCAGCCCTGTGAATGAACTGCCCCCGGAAGTGCGTAAGATCTCCGACCTCCGGGTATTTCGCTGTGCACTCAAGACCCTGTTGTTCCGCCAGGCTGGGCTATCAACATAATAATTTTAAATTGGGTGTTTTAAATTTCTGGGGTTTTAAATTGAGCCGAATTATTTAATAATTTTAAATTATTTTAATTGATGTTTGTTTTGTGCTTTTAATAGACTGTACACCACCCTGAGTCCTTCGGGAGAAGGGCAGTATAGAAAGAAAATTATTCTTATTTTTTTGTGTTTCCACTGCAACTTTGTGTTTCTATAAAACAGATGATAGAGGACCTCAAGTGCTGGGGATTCTGCTTCTAATAGCCTCACACTTACTTGTTCCTTGTCTGCAAAGAAGAAAGCAATTATTTTGATCAGTTCCCAAGTTCGTGTTGGGACTGAATCAGATAGAATCAAATCAAGACTGGATGAGAGGAGCTGTTGATCCTAGTGGGAAATAAACTTCATCTTGTCCAATGATACTTTGATTTGGCCTTTGGCTTGTAAGAGGGCATTTGATATGGGAAAAAAAAAACTTGAATGCAATTGTTTATCTTGTTTGTTAGCTATCTTAAGTCTCCCTGGGCAAAAAGGAATGTAGATCTATCTTTCCATGCCAGTTAGTGTCACCTAATTGTAGTCCTTCAACAGCAAACACCTTGTCTCCAATAGCAAACTGGTCTTTAGAAATATCCCTTTATGACTTCAGATAGATGCAGCAAAATATAGCATAACAATAGTAATAGCATTTAGACTTATATGCCTCTTCACAGTGCTTTACAACCCTCTCTAAGCGGTTTACAGAGTCAGCCTATTGCCCCCAACAATCTGGGTCCTCATTTTACCAACCTCAGAAGAATGGAAATCTGAGTGAATCTTGAGCCTGGTGAGAATTGAATGGCCGAATTTCAGGCAGTCAGCAGTCAGCAGATGTAGCCTGCAGTACCGCATTTTAACCACTGTGCCATGCCATCACTGAATGAACCCTTTTTGAGGGACACGTTCTCATGATCTCACATCCATTTCATGCCACGGGAATCCTAGAAAATAAGCAATCAATTTTAGTCTTATTCAGCTAGGAAGGCAACCAGATAAATATTAAATAAAATATTCTAAATATTTTATTCTAAAATATTCTAAATATTTTATTCTAAATATGAAGAGGCTATCATAGTTAAAATCATGGATACATGAAGGGTGGAGGAATTAATGTTAATGTAGCCATGAGAAGGAACAAACTGGTTGTTACTTAATGTTTAAATATTTCCTCAATTCCATCCCTCCAGTTTTTTATTAAGTAGAAAAGTCTGGTATTGCAATGTGATGTGCCAGTAGCCAAAGTGAGTAACTAAATGAAGAAATGACCACTAATTAAACCTCTTGAAATCATTTGGACATAGTCAGAAATTTCATTTTAATCTAAATGAAGCCCAGAGACCACTTGGCTAATGTTCATATTGACCTCCATTTTCCATACATTTTCTTTGGTGTTTGTTGTTTTTCTGCTTAGTCTCTGCCTCAGTCCAAATGTGTGGGAAAATGTCGTCCTGGATTTGTCAAGCGAGCTCGGGAAGGAGAGCCAGTTTGCTGCTATGACTGTATTCCTTGCCCAGAGGGGACCATCTCCACTCAGGAAGGTGAGTGATACTAGGGAGCACTGCTTGATGGATCAAAAGCATTTCAATCAGTGAGTATTTTAAAAGAGTACATTAAGCTCAACTGTTTTCTTGTTGTTCTTTATTTTCAACATGCCCAATTTCTTCCATAATGAATGAAGTATCAAAAACTATCTTCAAGGAGGAGCTAGGAAGAGATAGAAAGATATTGTATATTTACTTCTGTCAGAGGAAATGTCTCTTATACTTGTCAGATTGGAAGTGTCCTTCAACTGACATTTTGCTATCTCATCAATAGTAGGTTGTGGTCTACTTTATCAAATGCCTTACTGAAATTTAAGTAAATTCTGTCCACAGCATCCTCTAATTTTGTCACATTGTCAAAGAATGCAATAAGATTTGTCTGGCAAGATCTGTCTTTGAGAAATCCATGTTGGAGGCTGGTTATAACTTTCCTTGCATCCAGGTGTTCACAGATTCATTGCTTGATTAGCTTTTCCAGAATCTCTATTTCATTTTACTTTAGTCATTTTTTTAATGTTAAAAAAAAATAGGCTTTTTTTTTTTTTTTTTGCTGGAGTGTAAGCTTCACAAAGTTTTGTATGTGAATGCATATATGGGTGGATGGATATATTTGTTTTGAAAAATAAAACAAACTTTTTGGGCTTGAGGTGGAAAAAATGAAACTTTGGTTTTTGGTTTTACTCATTAGATAAATTTGTTGTTACAGAAAAGGCTAGTTTGCATTATTATGGAAAAGTAAAAAGTTGAGATTCTATGTTACATCTTATTGTACTGCACCAAAGGGAGTCGGAAGTCAATGCCTATTTTTTTTCTTTTTTCCCTTCTTTCCTACACATTTCTCTTCCCCTTCTCCTCCCCTTTGTTCCCTACTATTTCTTTTTGTATTTTCATTTTTATATTATAAGCTAATAAAAAACTGTAAAACATGAAAAAACCCATTAAAATATTTTATATAAAAGCATAAATATATCGTGGCTTTCCTATTTCGCATTTCATTCAAAGAAAGTTTTCTTGAAATTTGAGACTATAAAATAAATATTATTTTCTGTTATCCCAGATACTGAAAAATGCACCAAGTGCCCAGATGATCAATATTCAACTGAGAACCGACTCCAATGTATCTCTAAACAAATAACCTTCCTGTCCTATGAGGAACATCTGGCCATTATCTTGGTCTCTTTTGCCCTAGTCTTGTTTCTAACCACAGGCCTTGTTTTAATCATATTCCTTAAATATCTGGAAACTCCTATTGTCAAAGCCAACAACCGGGACCTCTCCTACATCCTCCTCATCTCCCTCATGCTTTGTTTCTTGTCCTCCTTTTTCTTCATTGGACAACCAAGGAAAATCACCTGTCTTCTCCGACAAACAGTGTTCAGCATTGTCTTCTCAGTAGCTGTGTCTTCCTTATTGGCAAAAACGATCACAGTGGTATTGGCTTTCCTTGCCACAAAACCAGGAAACCAAATGAAAAGATGGTTGGGGAAGAGCTTGGCCAATTCTGTTATCCTTTCCTGTTCTGGTGTTCAAATTTTCATTTGTGCCCTTTGGATAGGAGTTTCTCCCCCATTCCCTGACTCTGACCTGCACTCCCAGCCTGGAGAGAGCATCCTTCAGTGCAATGAAGGTTCTGTCACCATGTTTTATGTTGTCCTTGGCTACATGGGTTTCCTAGCTGCTGTTTGCTTCACAGTGGCTTTCCTAGCCAGGAACCTACCTGGGGCCTTCAATGAAGCCAAGCTGATCACCTTCAGCATGCTGGTCTTCTGCAGCGTCTGGGTCTCCTTCCTGCCCACCTACCTGAGCACCAAAGGGAAATACATGGTGGCCGTGCAAGTCTTCTCTATCTTGGCTTCTGGTGCTGGGTTGCTGGGTTGCATCTTCTTCCCCAAGTGTTATATTATTATCCTGCGACCAGAGCTAAACACTAAGGAACATTTAATGATAAAAATAGGAAACGAAGAATGAAATTATTTCTTAGATTCACATCATTTAATTACTTATTGCAATTATTATTGGTTTGTATGTTTCCTTTACATGTGTTCTTTTGCAATTAGTATTATTTAAAACCAAATGAAATAAAAAAATGAAGCGTGTAAGATTAATTAAATAAAAATCCAAAATTATCTCAAACATGAAATGAATGAATTATTGTATTTTTTGGGCTATAAGATGCAGATGCACCTAAATTTAGAAGAGGAAAACAACAGAAAAAAGTTTTTGGCCTCCCTTTTTCTGGATCTTTTTTTGGGCCTTTTCCAGCCTTTTTCCAGCCTGTTTTTGAGGCTTTTTTCAGCCCGTTTTTGGGGCTTTATTCTGCCTGTTATTGAGGGGTTTTTTGGCCTGTTTTTGAGGCTTTCTTCAGTCCATTTTCAAGGCTTTTTTTGGCCCGTTTTCTAGACTTGGAAAAAAACAACAACAACCTCGTTAGGTGTTTTTTCCAGTGAAATCAGACTATCAGGGCAACCTGGCATATCCAAATATGGGATGGAGCCACTGCTTCCATTTTCGCCTTTCAGATGTAATCCAGGAGCATTCACAGGCAGTCGCTTTTATGATGAACTATTTTTAAAAAAACATAACCTTGTTAGGCATCAACCTGGCATTCAAATGCAATAACTGGATCTCAGAGCCACCAAACATCTGCTAGCCAGGCACTGAGAGTAGAAACCAAGGGATGGGATGACCTTGGGATGACCTTTGAGTAGCAGATCAGATGTCATAAAGTATGACCCACATTCTACCTGTCACAGTCAGGATGGCCCTACCTATCCTGTCAGTTTCGCCTCTCCCTCAAACCCCCAGTTATAGTCTAAGATGAACAAATCAATGTGCATCCCTTCCAGATAATAAATGTAATTCCAAGACAAAAATGGACCCAGAGACATCAGGAACACAGGGACTCCCAAGCACACACACCAAGCACTTGGCAATCTGGGGGCGGGGGGTGTTTCTCAAAAAAATCTCACAGATGAGTAGGCCAAAGAGGTACCACTCCACCAACTACATCTAATAAAAAAGACGAAGGTCCACAAGCAGGGGTTTGATTCAGCCGGTTCAGACTGGTTCGGGCGAACCAGTAGCTCCTACGATCAGCTGAGAGCGAACCAGTTGCCCAGCTGATCGGCGTGGCAGAGCGGATTGCCGCACCTCAGCTGTTTTACTCACCGTGGCTGCAGTAAAAGCTAAGTTTTAGAGCTGAATTTAAACGCACCACATGCGTTCAGCGAACCAGTTGTTAGACCCGTTGAATCCAGTGGTGAAATCCAACTTTTTTACTACCGGTTCTGTGGGTGTGGCTTGGTGGGCATGGCTTGGTAGGCATGGCAGGAGAAGGATACTGCGAAATCTCCATTCCCACCCCACTCCAGGGGAAGAATACTACAAAATCCCCATTCCCACCCCCATTCCTGGGTGAAGGATATTGCAAAATTTCCATTCCCACCCAACTCTGGGGCCAGCCAGAGATGATATTTGACAGTTCTCCGAACTACTCAAAATTTCCACTACCAATTCTCTGAACTGCTCAAAATTTCCACTACCGGTTCTCCAGAACCTGTCAGAACCTGCTGGATTTCACCCCTGGTTGAATCCCACCACTGTCCATAAGGTCCCCCTAAACCAGTTTCTGGGAGGGTGTAGCAAGAAATCATGTTGTCATCATTCCGGTCGATGAACTCAGGGAAGTCGGGACTCTGACACTTTGTGCAGGTTCAAGAAATCCTTTATTTAGTACATCATGTCGGCATTTAGATAGGTGAAACTAGCTCTAAATAGTTCCCACATTTAGGGATAGTTAAAAGAATAGGATCCCCCCTCTGTGTTCTTTAGATCATACGGGCCAATCAATTCAGTCATAGGTTCCTGTTCGGCTCTGACAGATGTCCATTGACATGGCATTGGTTCACACACTGGCTGGTAGATATTTTGACTAGCAGTTGAGGCACCACATTCCTAAATTCCCCCTTCCCTCTCCCCCACTCCCATGAATGGCAACCAAGAAACAAAGCAGTAATAAACATGAGGAAGAATGGCTTCAACTGAAGTCGTTTTGCAGATTGACACATGCCTTGTCACTGCATTCTTTTATTTCCCAGCTGAGCTTCATTATTTTTGGACTAATAGACTTACTGTAGTTTGCCAAGTTCCTTATCAGTATTTTACTACGCATGTCCGCATTCCTTCACTTGCTTCACACACTCTTTCCTTTGTTCTCTTGCCAGCAAGGTCCGGCTGAGAAATAGCCGGCAAGAATTTTTTTTCAAAAATGTAGCAATTACTTTTCTTAGTTAGTGAGGTGTTTTATTTTCTTTATAACAAATAAATGAGTTTTATTAGAAACTTTTCTTCGCGTTTCTTTTTCAGAATATTGCAACAAGGAATAAGCCTCGATCCATCCTCTAATTAACCAGGGTGATTTTTCCCAGAGCCAAAAATGGGATTAATCAACACCCTGACATGCCTCACCATGGACTGTGCTGTGGGAATTGCAAGCATGACAATGGTAGACATGACTCTGTATATTTAATAAAATATCCGACTTCAGAATATAAAGTTTCTTAGTCAAGTCTCACCCAAAAATTGATATTTCTAGAAAAAATAGGAAATAAAATTTCACCTCGTTCACAAGTAATTTTAAAATGAGCTCCAATCAGGATTCATATATGGAGACTTAATAGAAAAGAACATCACAAAAAGACCCAACTTTTACCATTAGGCAGGGTTTAAGGATATTGATTAAAAGGTAAAGGTTCCCCTCACACATATGTGCTAGTTGTTCTGACTCTAGGGGGTGGTGCTCATCTCCATTTCAAAACTGAAGAACCAGCGCTGTCTGAAGACATCTCCGTGGTCATGTGGCCAGCATGACTAAACACCAAAGGCACACAGAACTCTGTTACCTTCCCACAAAAGGTGGTCCCTATTTTTCTACTTGCATTTTTTACATGCTTTCGAACTGCTAGGTTGGCAGAAGCTGGGACAAGTAACGGGAGCTCACCCCATTATGCGGCACTAGGGATTCGAACCGCTGAACTGTCGACCTTTCAGTCGACAAGCTCAGCGTCTTAGCCACTGAGCCACCATGTCCCTCTTAGGATATTGATTACTTCCTTGCTATTAAAAGATAAGGCAGCACTTGAGTTTAGTGCCATGAACACAGAATGTCAACAAACTACATCACTCTGCATGATCTTCCCCAATGTTTTCCAGAGACAAGTTATCACACTGAAGGACAGCAGAAGTCAATTCCCTGGGTGTTGAACTATCTTCATCCAGCATCACTTTCTGGACAAGACCTGACAGGAAAAGACCACAACCACTACACAACAAGGGTGGATCTGTGATTTTTCTCTAAGATGCTCTTCTCCAGCTACTCCTCTGGTAATGGAGTCCTAGGGTCCCCAGAGGAGAAATTAGTTCTCACTGTAATTTTCAAAATTGTGGTCTCTGAGACCTCTTCTGCTACTTCTCCAATGACTGACTTTGAGGTAAATATCAGACTGAAATAACATGGAAGGGATCTTGCATTAGAAAAGGATAAATGCCTCAGGCACACACAATGTGGCACTAGTTTTGGTACAGGTATGGATTGTGTCCTTGAATGTACTTTCTCTCCTTTCCAGGGAAAGCTTGGTTCATCTCTCTCTGAATCCAGAGAGTCACTAGAATTTCCACATTATAAAAGTAATTTCAATTCATCAAACTCGTATTGTTCTTTAGACCCATGAATTATGGACCTTCTGCTTGTGTTTCTGTTGCTGCTGGTGTCCCAGCCAATCTCTGGAAACCTTAGACTGATGTGCCCGCTGAATTTTGAGCACCAGGATGAAAAAAAACCATGGAGCTATTACAGTCCAGGAGACCATATCATTAGTATCATCAACACCGGAACAAAAATATTACGTACAACAATGTTGCCTTTCAACACGGCACCTCATTGTCAGTTTGAGATGTAAGTCATTCACTGTGATGGATTTCCATTCCCTCTATTTGCAGTTCTCATTCTTCCTTCTTATTTCACTGATGCCTGTATTGTAGGGCCTATCTTATTTCTTGAATTGTTTTGATTTCTCTCGTTTGTCTCATTTGTAGAAAAAAATCTTGAATCTTGAAACATGGGGCAGAAAAAAAAACCCTGAAAAAAAAATCCAGATTCTATAACTTTCCTGGTCTAATCCTTAGTTATACTTCAATACCAACTTCCCATTCATTCATTCATTCATTCATTAGAATTTGTCAAACAAAAACAAGAACAAGAATAAAAGAATAAAAATACGGTGACAGGGACGATAGGCACGCCCCCTCTGCTAACCACTTAAGTATGATGTAAGGTCCACAGAAGTCAATTTGTGACTGAGACTGTGAAAATTTGTAGCTGAAACAACTGAATCAGGTAGAACATTCCAGACTTTATTACAACTCTATTACAGAAATCATATCTTTTACAGTCAAGTTTAGAACGATTTACTTTGGTTTAAAGTAGTTATTTAATAGATTGTATTTGCCTCTGACTAGCTCATGTCCATATTTTTACAACCACTCATTCATATTCAATTTAGAATTGCTTTCCTGGGTCACATATGAAACAGCCTCTTCCTATTATGATAGTTATATTTTAATGATTGAATCCTGGTTACTTGTCAATTGAAAATTAGTTCTGCTACAAATTATTATTTGTGATTCTTAACTTTAGTGGAAAGCCATCTCCATCTCCTCTCCCCAACACTCATTAAAAGAAATGCTGATGGGTAACTATCATTTTCCTCTGTTTTGGGATCGGTATTGGCTTAAGACTCAGAAGGCTTGTGGAGGCAAAAAGCATTACATTGAAAAAAAAAATTTGCTTTTGCTTTTAATGATGACGATTAATAACATGAACATTTTTATCTTAGTTTACCTTTTGATAAGTATAGACTACTACGCTACATTTTTAATATTCAAGTGGTCAACAAGACTCCCCGGCTTCTGCAAAATCTCACACTTGGCTACAATATCCATGACAACTATTTGAACACACTTTTGACTTCAGATGCCTTGATGGACATGCTTTCTACTGGGGAAGCCAATGTTCCCAACTACAGCTGTGGAAGGAAGGATCACATTTTGGCTCTTGTTGATGCAGCTACTTATGACGTCTCCATCCAGATGTCAACGTTAGGAGACACCTACAAAGTCCCTCAGGTTTGTATGTGTACTTTCCTATAGGTAAACTGAATGAGTGGTGGGTCAGTATGCGATAGCTCCCTTTGGAACTGAAGGACTGCTTTTCATCATGGCCATTATATGCATCATGGTTAGGGATTGGGATCCACAGTGATTAGGAGGCAAGGATCAAAGCAGTGATATCCTCTCATGAAATTATCATAACTGATTGCAGTTTTCTGCTGCACATTTGGAAATGCAAAGAGGGTCTTTTGTACAAAAGGAAGGTGCAGCAGAGATGAGACAGCATTTTTTGTACATAATCTTTGCAAAAATAATATAATCCAAATGTATTATCTTACCTGTAGATGATCAAAACACATACAGTATGCCTTACTGTATGTAAGGATCACTATCATTAATCAACCACTTTATTTTTAAAAAAATTACAAGCACATTAGCCAACATGTTAAATATTTTTTTTTTACCCTAAAGTGTTCATGATGACATTCATCATAAACGGCTTGAAGAGCAATAAAGCTGCTGTGAAGGATTTTCTGCCAGCTGAACTATTCAAAAAATTTCCCTAATGGTGCTGTCCTCTATTGGCTGGTTCATTTACACATATTAATAATTCCTACTAACCTTCAGTCAAGTTTAAAATTTATATTTATATAAAATTTGTATTTCGCTGATAAAGAAATAAAGGGAGACTCGTATAGATCTATTTCAAGCTATTTAGCTCTCATCAGCTAGCCATACCCTTACTTTGATTTGAACTTGGGCTGCCTGTATGTTAGGCAGTTGTATTAACCTCTGAGCCACAAGTTTTCTCCCTTCATCAGCTTGAGCCAGGGGAGAGATTGTTTTCCTATATATATGTGTGTGAGTGTGTGTTTGTGTGTGTGTATGATGTATGTATGTATGTATGATGTATGTATGTATATGTATATGTTTAAAGAGAATAAAAATAATATGGATGGAAACTAATCAAGGAGAGAAGCAATTTAGAATTAAGGAGAAATTTCCTGACAGAACAATTAACCAGTAGAACAACTTCTCTTCAGAAGTTGTGAATGCTCCAACACTGGAAGTTTTAAAAAAAGAGATTGGACAACCAGTTTTCTGAAATGGTATAGGATTTCCTGCCTAAGCAGGGGGTTGGACTCGAAGACCTCCATGGTCCCTTCCAACTCTGTTATTCTATTCTATTCTATATGCTCAGATCCTCTTGAGTAGAGTTGAGAGTGGGTAGATGAACAAAGAATTCCTTGCTGAAGAACAAGCAAGCTTTAGACCATGTTTTGTCTAACCAAGAACCCTTAGCATATAGTCCTCAATGAAACTACATCTACATGGAGGGAAGATGTAGTGAGGTACCTCAATATTCTGTTTTAGGTCCAGTGCCCAATTATTAGTGGTACATTTAATCTATGGAAACTGTCAGACCCCCCCAAAACCTGTGTTTTAAAAGAGACAATTAAAAAAGAGACAATTTCAATGAAAGACACCTTGAATTGTACAGCTGACAAATTATATTAGGAGGTGTGGTCTTCCTGTTTCTTGTGCAACTGGAAAAGAAGCTAAAAAGTTGGCTGCACAAAGAAATCAGATATTGAAGCAGAGAAAGATACAAAGATGCTCAATAAAGCTGGCACATTGAAATGAATGGTGCTGTATAAATGTACTTACAAATAGAATAGAATTGTTTATTGGCCAAGTGTGATTGGACACACAAGGAATTTGTCTTGGTGCATTCGCTCTTAGTGTACGTAAAAGAAAAGATACATTCGTCAAGAAACATAAGGTACAACACTTAATGATAGTCATAGGGAACAAATAAGCAATCAAATCATATTAGGAAACAGTCAATATAAATTGTAAGGATACCACCAACAAGGTTACAGTCATAACTGTATTGGCAAGTATCTTGATTCAGAAATGCCTGGATACCTTAAGGTGATATTTACTCAAGCAGGATATGAGCACTGGATTCAAAGGTTAAATATGGAAGATTTAATTAAGACCCTTGTAATGAAGAGACTTGTATTTGTTGAGTCCCGGAGATAGACAAAATACATCTATTATTTGAATATAAATTATATAAGAAAGAGATCAGTATCTTGGACCACAGATTAGATCATTTAGATCCTTACAATAAAATAAATATTTCCTGTTTGGTCAAAAGACAGACACAGACTTCAGAGGATAATTAGAACTGCAGAAAAAGCAGTTGCTACCAACCTGCCTTCCATTGAGGACGTGTATACTGCACTAGTCAAAAAGAGGGCTGTGAAAATATTTACAGTCCCCTTGCATCCTGGACATAAGTTGTTTCAACTCCTACTCTCAAAACGATGCTATAGAGCACTGCACACCAGAACAACTAGCACAAGGACAGTTTTTTCCCAAACGCCACCACTCTGCTAAACAAATAATTTCCTCAACACTGTCAAACTAGTTACTAAGTCTGCATGACTACTAATCTTCTCATCGTTCCTATCACCCATCTCCTCCCACTTATGACTGTATGACTGTAACCTTGTTGCTGATATCCTTAAGATATTGACTGTTTCCCTATGACTATCATTAAGTGTTGTACCTTATGATTCCTGACAAATGTATCTTTTCTTTTATGTACACCGAGAGTGTATGCACCAAGACAAATTCCTTGTGTGTCCAATCACACTTGGCCAATGAAGAATTATATTCTAAATTTTTTTTAAAAAAAAATGCATTCAATATGGATTTATTTATTTATTTATTTATTTATTTATTGGATTTGTATGCCGCCCTTCTCCCAAAGGAATCAGGGTGGCTCACAACAATAAGAAACAGAAAACACAAAAGTTAAAAAACAAATTAAAGCAGAATATCCAATAAATAAGGTTAAACGTGGGAATACAAATTCAAATTTAAGATTTAAGAATTTAAAAAGCTACAAAATCAGTTGGATCTTTATTTGACAAAAGATATTGAGAAACTGTGCTGATGTCGCAGTAGGATAATTGTGGCTAGCAGGGCTCCACAAAGCCCAGCCAATTTCTGCTTGCCTGGAGGTCCTTCGGAGCCAAAGTCACCCTGTGGGGTGACAAAGATAGGTAGAGCTCTTCGTAGATTGCAGAAACAGTGTATTTGATCTGGGTAAGGATTGCCTAATTTCTACCCAGAATTAAATTAAGTTCTCCAGAAGTACTTTTAAAAAGAAAGTGGAACTCCAAAATGCATTCAATATGTATTTTGTTTGAACAAAATATTTTAGTGGACATATGGATAAATAGGTCAGAGATGTAGGGGTGATAGAGAAATATGATTTGTATTCTTTATTCTTATTCTTTTTCACTCATTTTCTTTTATACTCTTGTTACATACAGTTTTGTTAATGTTATGTATTTTTATTCTTTACTTTCATAAGCATTAATGGCTACTCAACAATGAACTATTTTAATAAGTTCATGAAATTGTATTTCTTTAAAGCTAATATTTTGGAATTGATCTGACCCCAAATATAACACAGCATTCTTCATTGTTTTTTCCAGATCAATTTTGAATTATTTTCAGATCTGCTGCATGATAAAAGTCAATTGCCCTTTTATCACAGTTTTTTCCCCAAAAAAAGGGGTCCTCTATCCAGGAATTGTCCAAGTGCTCCTCCATTTCAGATGGACCCTGGTTGGTCTCTTTGCTCCAGACACTGAAAATGGAGAAAATTTCATGAGGACTGTTACTCCTTTGCTTGTTAGGAATGGAATTTGTGTTGTTATATCACAACAATTCTCAACAACTCAACTTAAAGCACCCCATGGCGATGCCCTCTCTAAGTGGAGACAAGTCAATGTCTATATTCATTACATAGAACATGGCGCTGCTTTGGACAGAATTCTTCCTTTTCATTTTATACTTAGACATTTGCCCGGACCCGTTGAAAGGAAAATCTGGATCACAACACTCATTTCACCATATCCATTGAGAGATCACAGAGCTCTCAAATATGTGAATAGCATCTGGACTGTTGATTTTGAGAGAAAAAAGGGGCCAATAAAGGATGACTTTATACCCAATTTTTTTGTGGAACCACCCTTTGGGCATCAGTCATTTCTCTGTTCTTTTTCAAAGCATGTATTGTCTGTCAAAGGCCGGAAAAGATGCACTGAGAAATCACCACTGGAGACCCAAAATAAAAATAACATGGTGTGGACCTTGAATTTCCACCATTGTTACAGTGCCATTAAGACTCTGGTCCATGCCTTGGATGCTGCATATGTCTCCATATCCAGGAAGAGAAGGAAGGAGGGCAAAGGGAGTTTGGGGGCTCCAAGGCTGCAGCCGTGGCAGGTATGGGGTCCTGACAAAGATCCATTAATCTTAGTTCCTGTTGAGAAGAAATAAAGGAGGGGAACTGTACCTAACTACTTGTGTTAACGGGACTACAATAAATTTGGTCAATCTAATCACTTAAGCAAGAACGTTCACAAGAATGGGAAGTATGACAGATATAGTTTGGTATTAAGGTAAAGGTAAAGGTTCCCCTGGCACATCTGTGCTAGTTGTTCCCGCCTCTAGGGGGTGGTGCTCATCTCCGTTTCAAAGCCGAAGAGCCAGCGCTGTCCAAAGACATCTCCATGGTCATGTGGCCGGCATGACTAAGTGCCAAAGGCGCATGGAAAGCTGTTACCTTCCCACCAAAGGTGGTCCCTATTTTTCTACTTGCATTTTTTATGTGCTTTAGAACTGGCAGAAGCTGAGACAAGCTGGCAGAACTGGCAGAAGCTGGGACAAGTAATGGGAGCTCACCCTGTTACGCGGCACTAGGGATTCAAATCGCTGAACTACCGACCTTTCGATTGACAAGCTCAGCATCTTAGCCACTGAGCCACCATGTCCCTATAGTTTGATATTAAACACTGCCAATTTAAAAATGACATATGCATTTTTAAATAAATTCCTGTAGGTAAGGGTTTGTGATAAATACCATAGAATTTTACTTTCATAAATTTGATGAGCCCCTTAGATCATGTAGTCCAACCTGCCTTCTCTTC